GAGAACACCAAACACCCAAAGATGTCTCCCATTTTGTTTCTCTATAACTCACTCTGTCTCAAAACTAACAATGCAGATAGTTTTTGCTAAACATCAGTGTGTTTATTCTTTTTACTGTGAAATTTTAATATCCTAAATAAAGTTTCGAAATTTTGCAGGTATTTTTCTAATAAAAGAATAGCTTCTCAAATGTGAAATGATATATAAAGTGTGATATTCAGTCCCAAACCAGAAATAAGTTTATTGTAGGTAGGTACTCTCTCAACACTTTTTTGGAAACATACATGAAGGTAAATTTATTCACTCTTCGCTCCCTTACTTAGTTTAATTTATAATAATTTTTCATTTATCCCATTTGTAAAAAAAAAAAAATAGTATTAGGAGACATGTCATTATGAGTTTTCTGAAGGCAGCATTTCTATGGACCTGATACAACCTTGAACGTGGCCTCACATAAGTCCAGTTGTCATTATAATATGGGCTTATTTTTTCCTTAAGAGAATTGAATCCCCTTGATATAGTCACTAAGCAGGTTTATAAGCTGCATTCCATCAAGTTTTCACTTGCATAGTTTTAGGTAAATAATATTCTAAAAGTTAATGAACATGAGCCTATAAATTTTTAACAGCTTTATCGAAGTAGAATTCACATACCCTATAATTCATGCACCTAAAGTATACAACTCAGTGATTTTTAGTATATTCAAACGCTATGCAGCCATTACCACAGTCAATTTTAGAGCATTTTTATCACCACACAGAAACCCCATACCTGTTAGCAGCCACTCCCCATGCATCCCTGAGCCATCCCAGCTCTAGGCTACCACTAATCTACTTTCTTTCGCTATAGAGTCACCTACTCTAGACCTTTTATTTAAGTGGAATCATACACTCTATGGCTTTTTCATGACTGGCTTCCTTCACTTTGCATAATGATTCACCCATGTTGTAGCATGTATCAGTATTTTATTTCTTTTTATGGTCAAATAATATTCTATCGCATGGATATATCACATTTTATTTTTTTGTCAGCTTCTAAGTATTTGGGGGTATTTCTCCTTTTTGGCTATTTTGAAATATGCCCCCAACGAACATTTGCGTAGGAGTTTTTGTGTGAATGTTTCCATTTGTGGGGGTTATATATGCGTGGGAGTAGAATTGCTGGATCATAAAGAAACTCTGTTTAACTTTTGAGGATCTTCCAAACTATTTTTCCAAAGTGGCTGCACCACTTTACATTCCCACCAGCAATATTTGAGGGTTATAATTTCTCCACATCCTCTCCAATACTTGGTAATATCTGACTCTTAATTATAGCCACAGTTTTTTTATTGAGATGTAATTTATATGTCAAATTTACCTTTATAAAGTGTACAACTTAGTGGTTTTAGTATATTCACAAAATTGTACAACTGCCTAACTCTAGAACATTTTATCCCCCTAAAAGGAAACCCCGTACCTACCCATTAGCAGTCACTCCCCATTCCTCCCTCCCCACAACCAACCCAGCCCCTGGCAACCACTAGTGCATAAATTTTACATGGTTATAAGGTACAAATTCAGATTAAGTGTCTGATCATTGCCATGACAACATACTTTAGTTATTTACTCAGTCACCATAGTATCTAAACATTTGACAAAACAGTTGAGCAAAAGGCAGGAAGCCAGAGATGGCAGCAGATGGAAATTGAGAAAGGAAGGCCCTTCCAGACTGATTTGCCACTATTCAGTGCTCTGACTTGTTCCGCTGAGGCCCTCACAATGTGGCCAGCTGGGAGGTGATGAGGAGGGCCTGAAAGCTGGAGGACAACAAACCGTGGAAATGAATCTGTGGCCTGAAGTCAAGCTTGTGTAGAGAGAAGAACAAAGACTTTGGGTTTGAATATTGATGGCCTCTACCTGTTCCTACCTGTGTAACTCTAGAAAAGTAGTTAACTCATTCCCCTGAGCCTCTTTCCCCACCTGTATGTCTTGCAGGATTGTCCTTATAAGGAACAATACTGAGTGTAAAGCACTCTGTAAAGTACCCAGCATAAAATGGGTGCTTCTAAATGGTCATTGTTGTCTTTATTTGGGTCACAAGATGAGTTTTGAGTGGCGTGACTAAGAGCAACATTCAACAAAATTAAGAAATTGATTTAATTTGACTCTGAATCTATCTTCTTTTGTCAGTATCTTTTGGGGTCTTTTTAATTCTCCTTTTTTAGATTTACCTAAACCTGCCCCTCTGTTCCCTAACTTGTATTCCTAAAAGCATATTTGCAGTGGCATCCTAATTTAATGGCAGAGATAACATGCCTACTGGCATGCTAACTGATACCTAAAGTAATAACTGGTAATGTCATGAAATATGAACTCTCAAGACGTATTTGCATTTTACATATCTGCCTTCAACCGTAGCAGAACCTTTATAACCAGCCTTCAAACTCAGATACCTCGTAGAGCCAGTCAAAGAATTTATATGCTGGTGGTTCTGGCCAGGATTGCGATCTTTGAGATTGATGTGGACTGTGGAGAACAGCAGTGTGCACACCCTGCCTAAGTGCATTCACATTTAAAAACTGAATTGGCTAAACTACTATCAGAAGAATAATAGGTGCTGGGGTCGATATTTTGGAATCGTAAC